ATTATTTATTAAGCACTTAACTTCTTTATTGTATTTCAATTCTTACTTGACTTTGCGTACCTACCCATTTAAAAGGAGCATGCAGTATAGTTTTTTTTTATTTACTAGGCAGAATGACGATTTTCTATCAATGCGCAGCAGTTTTTATTTTTCTTTTATGCCTGTTCTGCACATTTTGACAATTGAATATTTTTTCACCATAGACTTAACATGGAGACCTGTACAATTGTAATGTCTTTTTTAATTGTTATGCACATTTTGACAATTTGCCCCATAAAATTAACAAAGTGAACCTTTATTGTGTCAGGTCTGAGATCGAAATTGAAAATGTAGGCATCGTCACGACCTGTACAATTGTAATTTTTATGCGTTTCGAATTTCATGCTTATATCGATTGAGGAATGGCCATGTAATTCCGTGTCTTTTTTCGTTATTCTGCACATTTTGATAATTTACTATTTTTCCCAAACACTTAACACGGTTAACCTTGATTGACTCATGTCCAAATTCAAATTTTGAGCTTCATCATGACCTGCAGAATTGTCTTTATGCTAGTTTCGAATTTCACACATATTGTACCTACATAGAATGATACCGTTCGTAGGTTGTGTAATTTGAGTGGATGCCAAAAACAGGTAGGGTACGTCTTGATTAAGATGCGGTGCCCTATGAAGTTTTATCGTTGGCTCAATCACATTATGTTATAGGTATCATCTAATAAATAAATTGTAATAAACAGTTTGTGTTTGACCACACGGTCACACTCTAAGGACTGCTCTGTACTGGTTGTTCACGTGGTATATCACGATCTTATTATTATTATATAAAGAAATATTATACAATAGATACATTTGCATAAATTTCTCCCAGCAGTTTCTTTTAACGTGTGTACCAACGTTATCTAATTTTGCTCATTCAATTTTTCGTACAAAAATGTTGTTAAAAATATATATCGAATTCTTAGGCTCAACTAACACTGGCGCAGAGTCGAAGCGTCGCGTCGCGTCCCGTTTTTCAACTGCACCGCCTGGTGACGCGGGACGACACTCACATTAGTGCGCCGGGATCACTGTGTGGTTGGCGTCTGACGCCTCACGGCGCCCAAGTGACGCGCGAAGCCGGTCGAATACTACCAAGCGTCGACATTCGATTCCATATTTGCAAAACACAAATTTGTACCTTAATAATGGGAAAATAGAAATGAATATGCTATAGGCGAAAAACATATTGCGGTGTAGTTGAAAAACATAACGCGTCGCGAACGCTTCGACTCTGCGCCAGTGTGAGTTGAGCCTTAGGGTTTCGCGATTGTTACATCAGTTTTATTACATCCGAATAAATAGTTTCATTTCATATACTTTCATATTTGCACAAATGAAACAACGAATTGTTCATACTGCACAAGTAGGTACTTGAGTAAAAAAATAACGCGTCGTTTACACATTCAAGCAGTATTTTGTATGTAAACAGAACCGTATTGTTACATACGAGTGAGATGTTTAAAGAAATTAACATTGTACACTAGCAATAGGAAATGAAACTATTTTTCCGGATGTAATACAACTCATATAACAATCACGAAACCCTAAGGCTCAACAAAAAAACAACTATACGCGATATAAATCCGGAAAATAGTATCATTTCCTATGTGTCGCGAAAACCTAAGAACTCGATATTGTACACTAGCGTCACAGTACGTTTATAAAAATATAATTTATGTTAAGAAAAATAGTAAATTTTTAATGAAAAGTTCTGAGTGTTCTTGAAAGTCGTTTTCGCAAAATTCCAAATTCATTTAAGTTAAGGGGCAAAGTATACGCTTCATATAATATGATTACGGTTGATATGCAAAATTTGCCAAAACTTTTTAAAACTATAGTAGACAACTTTATACCAATGGTGCTACGGTTTCTGCAATACTTGGATGACAAAAATCCCTACCAGTGAACCGTTCAGCTCTCTCAGGTTATCACAATTTGAAATAAATATTGTAAATGATATGTACAAATGTGTATTTACAAAGAGCAACCTTTTCCTTACTCATTCGAAATGTAGACAAAGATAAATCTGACTTTTTATGGTATGAAATAAAGTACCTAAGTGGAGCACATATGAAAAACGATATTGTAAATTTTTCGAATGTATATTCTTCACAATACTGAAATTTAGGTGCTCGTAAACAACAATACCTTGTAATGCATTTCTATACATATATTCTTCCACTCATGTGCAATGTAGGTACCTCTATATGTTAGGTATCTACATAACATCCGTTCACTGTAGTAGGAAAATGAAACTTTATTTTGCTAAACTCGAACTTCAAACAATACTTTTATTTTTCCTTGTACTGGACTTGATTTTACAGTATAACAAATCAACACTGTTTGTTATTTTTTTATTAACTCGTTTACGCGGCAGCCCGAATTACATCCTTAGGGAATCGTCACACTTGTTAACGTATAATCTGCTTGAACCGGTTAGGAATTGTACAACGCCTCTAGTGAGCACATGGAGAAGTAAATATTTTGTTCGGTCGCTAGCTGTTTTCCGCTTTTGAAGCGTAAGGGTGCTATAGAAATTACTGGCTTTGACTTGTCAACTTATGTCTCAGGGTGACGAGCGCAGTGACAGTGCCCCTCAGATCTTTGTAACTTAAAGCTCTGAGTGGCACTGTAACTGTTATGGACAGCATGTAGCTTACTATCAGGCGCACGACTTGTTCGTCTCGATGATATCATAAATATAAAAATAAAAATAAAAAAAAGACTATCGACACTGTAACTCGTACTGAATGTCAATATATAACGCTTTATTTTTGTTTTATGATCGTTACTACTGAGTTAAGCGAAAAAGACGTGAGTTTCGGCTTCGCTCGGACCGCTGCTGACGCTTTTTCACTATTGTTACATAGACGAAAATTCTGACCAGCTTAATTCGAATCTGTGTCCATAAATGTGGTGACTCCAGCGGCGGATTTGCAGTCTTGGCCGCCCTAGGCCCCAAGCCTGTAGTCAGTACCAGCATCCGTTCAGTAGGTTTTGAGCTTACCGCTCAGATAGACGGACAGATGTAGTGATTATACATGACATTATAGGTATGTAACACATCTACATTTTATTCATAAAATGTACGAAAGTGATTTAGGAAGATTATTGTTATACGATGCGGTGCAGTGAGGCCCGCCATGATGTGCGTGAGCCTTTGAAATATTTAGGTACTTTGAGTTATTTCTTGTTATTATCAGTTAATTTTTTGTCACGATTGGCTGCACCTAAAATCTAGCCGCCCTAGACCTGGGCTTTCTGGGCCTTAGGGCATATCCGCCACTCCCATAGCGTCCTTTCCAACAAAAGTAATTCTACGATGGTGCAGCGCTGACTGGTGTTGTATACGGCTTCAAGCCAGTAGCTGTGCCTCGCACCGTTCTATCATAGCGTACACCTACTTGAATTTGCAATATACCCAATTGTTACTATCAGTAGTTTACATTGTTACTAACATGGATCCAAGAATCCAAAATAACGGGTTGTTATTTTATTATCACTTAATTGCATAGCGCTTTTATTATATGTATAGCAACAAGCGTAATATATTAATAACCATATGTAAATTTAGATAGGCTAAGGTCTCTTTAGTAAATAAAGAAATACTTAGTAATCGGTAACGTCCGTTCGAATGAAAACTCTGTTCCAATCGGTTTAATTCACCACTTATCCAATTACACTAACAAATACGAGACGTCCTTAATGTAACGCCATTTTACTTGTACCTCTATCAAACGATTATTTTATCGTTTGATAGAGGTACCAGTACCTATTACTTGACACAAAAATTGTCGTAGTTCATAACTTTGACCCAAACTGGGTGTACGAGCTACCTCGACATACTTAGGAAAATATTATAATAATTGCAAAACTATATACGCTGACGTAGATTTTAACATAAAAGGCTATTACGTGTTTACTTTATTTAGAGTTCAATAAACGGAATCATTGAGTGCGGACACGTTTCATTACTAACATCCCGCTCCAGTGATAAACTGATTGACTCTCCAGCAAACTACAACTTAGAGTAAGGGAAGCTACCCTTACATTTTGGTCCTTCGAGCCGGATTGGAGTCTGTGGTCTATCGGTCTCCCGGTCCGTGAGCGTACTAAACGAATTCCAGTAACGTGTGATTGAACTTTGAATCTTGGTAGCGAGTCGGTCGGCCGGCTTCCCAGAAGAGGGTCTCACCGGTAACGATTGAGAAGGCGCACATACCTTGAGGAGAGGTCAATCATACGGTACTGAACAACGCGTATATAAAATACTCTTCGACATTACATTTGAACTTCTTTGGGATCTTTATTTGTCGGTAAACGAACTTCCGTCGATGCAAGAGTTATTCTTATAATATTTCCTTTACCCTCGAGGCCTTCTGCAATGTGCTTAGCAGTATGGTGGAGGTATGTAATAATGTTGCTACGCCTGAAGTTCTATTAAGCCGTAAACCAATTGTGTGACATTGCTTTCTGTCACATTAGCCTTCAAGCTCAATTCAATGAAATATCATGTCTTCTGATATACCTCTTCTAACTTAGTAGCAGTAGAGCACCTTGCGAAAGAGTTCGTCCATGGAAGAACTGCTACCTTAACTGTTTTGGCCGTCAAGCAGTAATGTGAGCATTATTACTGCGTTCCGGTTTTGAAGAGTAAGGGTGTTGCCAATTTGGTGGTTACGCTAATAAGTATGTCGAGTGTGTGCGTTGTTAAAAAAAAATAAAAATAAAAAAAAGTATAAAAAATAATTAATTGGGCGGTGTATTTAAACACCCTATGTTACTAAGACAACAATTTTTCATGCAGCTATTAATTGTTGTGACAAGTAAGACAATTCTCATTTATAGCAATTTAATGTTATAATTTTAAAATAGTTCTATTGGGCAACATTGGCGTAGCCCTACTGTACTGTAAAAGTGACAGTAAAGGCGTAATAATTTATTTTTGTTCATCCACAGGTAAAACTTATTGGACCGAAAAATGATCCGCCGACAATCGTCCAGGAGAAGGTGCTCAGCCTCATCCAGTGCTGGGCAGATGCTTTCCAGAATCAGCCTGACTTACAGGTCAGTTCATATTACGTCATAAATATGGTTTTGCAGAGAAGTACATCGTCAGCTTATAGTGAAAAACATCGCATGCGCATTTTTACATAGATTGTTTTTTACTGATTGTTATTGAAACTAATTTTATAATTTCTTGCATAAATATATTATTAAATTAATTTAGTATCTCAAAGTAGGCCTCTTTATTAACCTATTATGTATTAATTATGTTTGCACTGAGGATGTGTAGGCTCGATTCCCGGTAGGTCCAATTTGTCAGATGAACTTTTCTAAATTGGTTCTAGTCTGGGTGTTTTGGGAAGTGTACGAGAGTGCCTGCCGTTGCTCTGGTACAGTTGAAGGAATAATTTTTTGAACAGTTGGTACTTCTTAAAACCGACTGCCGATTCTTTTCTTATTAATTCAACAAGCTCTGAGTGGGACCGCAAGTGTTATGGACAGACGTGTAGCTTACCATCAGGCGCACGACTTGTTCGTCCCGTCACTTGATATTATAAATAAGAAAGTTAATCACGCGTAAAAATTATGACGTTTGAAATTAAGTTCCAATGCGTAAAAGTATTTAAACTAGCTCTTTGTACTATACGAGACGGTTCACTCTTTTGTCCTATTGTACTCTACAGATGAAGCGATACAACGAATCGGTGCAAATAACATTTCGCCAACTGTGCTCATATTACAGGGATTGTTTGAGAACAAGACAATTGGTTTAGTTGTCTGGAACATTATTTAACTAATTAAAATGCTAACTACAAATCTTATTGTATTTTTTGTTTGTTATATTTCGCAACATATCTTTATTTTCACCCTGAAAAATTACATACAAATCACATACAAGGTACTTATTCCCTCTAACACAACAACATATTAAATAGAAAAAGGGACCGATTATTATGTCGTTTATTGAACAAATTGTTTATTCCATTTCTAGAGGCCCATTTCTAGTACAACCGTGTAGGACATTCCAAAATATAAGTTTTTTATTTGTCCTGTCCGAATCTAATTCCGTTCTCCGTCCGACATCCGCCCGAAACAATTCGTGTCAAATAAGTAATACTCGACTAAATAAAAAAATACAGTGCGAAGTATAAAGCTTCATTCGCATCATCCGTCTTTCAATTTGGTTGAATATTTCTTATTTGACAGTATTTATTTCGGACGGATATGGGACTGAGAACGTAAGCAGTCCCCAGGCATGACAACCTCGTGGTCGAGTGGATTGCACAACGGCTTTCATGGTGTCGCCATCTCTGAGGTCTCGGGTCCAATCCCCGGCCGGGTCAATGTAGAAAGGAACTTTTCTATATTGTCTCGGGTTTGGGTCTTTGTGGTTCCGTCGTTGTTTCCCATTTCCATAACACAAGTGCTTTATTTGATTTTTAATTCGAGACTTAATAACGTATAAAACTTATCGAGTTCTTAGGTTTTCGCGATTGTTACACATAGGAAATGACCAACAATCAGTCAACCGTGACCATGGGACCTGTAAAGGGCACGAAACGTCGGTTTGTTTGAAAAAACAAATATACGCGATTTAAATCCGGAAAAATAGTTTCATTTCCTATGTATAAAATATATTTTATTTACCTCGACGTTGCAATACTGTCCTCGTAACGAAAAAAGGCACAACTATGCGTACTTTATACAGCAGTCGGGCCATTTTTCGTCCCGAGGGCAGTATTGCAACGTCAAATATGTCCGAAACGTCGAGGTAAATAAAATATGGTTTATAAGTGATTAAGTCCCGAATTAAAAGTCAAATTGTGTGTGAAAATCGTGAAAGTTTAAATCAAAGTATAGGGTTTTTCAATAAGAACTTTGTTTTGTAAATCAAAATAAAACAATAAATTTAGATGACAATGATTCAAATTTTTATTGTATTAATAAAAGTAAGGTTTGGCAATTATTAATGAAAAATGATATCTGATAAATGTCCACCACGACCACAGTTACAGATGTCGATTCTTTCCATAAAGTTTTTAATCACTTTTTGAGAAAGTGGTGGGTTTATTTGGTTAATCACTTCAAAAATTGTGAGTTTTAAGGCTGCAATCAATTCGATTGGCTCCGTATAGACTCTGTCTTTAACATAACCCCATAAAAAATAATCCAGCGGTGTTAAATCATATGATCGAGCTGGCTACTTAACGGCTGAATTTCGTGAAATTATCGGGAAATTTGGTTTGCAATAAATTAATTCATTGTTTCGGTGGCAATGTGACTTGTGCCGTTGGCATTGGGCCGTATTTTTTCGAAAATTCGGCTGGAAATGCGGTAACGGTGAATGGATCACGCTATCGCGAGATGTTGACATCTCAATTTTGGCCTAGCATTGATGACATGGATCTCACTGACATGTGGTTTCAACAAGACGGTGCCACATGTCACACAGCCAATGAGACGATCAATTTATTGCAAACCAAATTTGCTGATCGCGTAATTTCCCGAAATTCAGCTGTTAAATGGCCAGCCAGATCGTGTGATTTAACACCACTGGATTATTTTTTGTGGGGCTATCTTAAGGACAGAGTCTATACGGAGCCAATCGAATCGACTACAGCCTTAAAACTCAAAATCCGTGATGTGTTAGCCGAAATAGACCCGACATTTTGCCAATAAGTGATTAAAAATTTTGATGAAAGAATCGACTTCTGTCAGCGTGGTCGTGGTGGACATTTGCCAGATATAATTTTTCATTCATAATTGCCGAACTTTTCTCTTTGTAATACAATAAAAATTTGAATCATCTTCATCTAAATTTTTTGTTTTATTTTGTTTTAGAAAACAAAGTTCTTGTTGAAAGACCCTTACAAGTGCTTTAGTTACTTTAGGATAGGGGCATCGTATGTGATGTTGTTTAATATTTATTTATTATTATTTGTTTATGTACAGACGGCAGCACGTAAAGCTACACATTGACGGATGTTCTTCCGTTGCACTGGATATTCGAATAAAAGTGCTGGCTTGATGTGCTCTTGATTGTACAAATAATGTGTCAATGTGGTTATTCTAGAAAAATACGTAGTGTATCTTTTGCAATTACCGAGGAGCTTCCCTTATTAGTTTATAATATCACGAATCAACAGATACAATTTACTATTTAACTTACTGCTTAGAGCGTGTTATTTATCTTTGCAAACTAATGTAGAATCTGCTCTTATCTTTCAAAGAGAAATCTCATCTAATTAAAATCAGTTTAATGAGACGTGAACGTGATGTTGAGGCGGACATTGTTTTACTTTCTCTTTCCAGTGGCTTTGCTGCTAAGCCGACGCCTCAATTATTCAGATGAGAAGCGCTAGATATTGATTTTGGGTTCACCTCTCGGAACAATCTTGTATTGGTATTACGTTAAAAAACGAAAGTATGAATAAATACGTTTTTAGAAGCACTAAAAATGCATGATCATCAATAATGAGAAAGTACTATGCCGAGATTGTGAGTTTCACACGATTTCACGTAACTTACAAATTATTTTCAATGAATATCATGATGGGAAATTGAACTAGTGTTTCGGATCTCAATCATGTGTATTTGTAAAAAACAGTGTCAAAATTGTTTCATTTCCTATGTGTAGTAACCGCGAAAACTTAATACTTAACTCGATATGAATATTAAGATATTTTACTACTACGATTATGATTTGAATATGACTTGTTTGTATAATTATTAATATGTATAAGTGTTTTCCTCATGTTAGTTTGGCGTCTGTACGCCAAAGTTCAGGTTACCTATCACAAGACCGAAATGAAATAACGTTTGCGCGAATTTTCATAACCTCGAAAGTAATTTTGAGAGGTAAATGTTTTTTCTTTTAAACCTAACTTAACCTGACCTTTTTTTTATTATCGTGAGGAAAATGCGTTACGCATTCCCCACCCCTGGGAGACGGCGGGGATATGTGGGACTTTCTCCTGGGGTCTATGTCGGTCCCCAAGAGCATACCCACTAAAAACCTCACGATGCTCCTCCTCCCACCGCGGTACCGGAGAACATCATGATGAGGAATCCCCAGCACCGTGCAGAGCCACGGGGTCCCTTTCGGAGTATACCTCGGCGCTGCCGGAGCATTAGGGGCATCTCCCGTCTGCGGTGGCCTGTGCAATGCAGGGACAGGGCCTCCCAACCCTGCTCCCCGCTGGCCTCTGTGGATGGGAAGGAGGCTATCGGCGTAGGACCTCCTCGTCCGCCCTGGTCGCCAACGCCGAATCTGGTCCGCAAGAGAGTCATCCTCGCGGGCCCGTTCGGCGGTCTCCTTCTGCGACATGACATCTTCGCAGAAGGTGACCATTGCCTAACACGACCTCTCGCTTGTCAGCATGGCTTTAACCACACTGGGCAGCGAGAAGTCACTTCTCATCTCCTCCACGAGAGTGCTCCGCTGCGGATTCCAGGCTGGACATATCTTCTAGGGTGTGCTGCGCCGAATCACTCGCAGCTCCGCACTCGTGGCACTCCGGGGTCGCCTCCCTCCCGGCAATCTTGTGCAGGTAATCACTAAAGTATCCATGCCCGGTGAGCACCTGCACGAGCCGGTAGGTCAGCGACCCGAACTTCCTCTTCCTCCAGTCGGCCAGGACCGGGTGCAGCGCCTGGATTGTGCGCGTTCCGTACCTTGCCGACTGAAGATTCACCACCCACTTCCTCCGGAGCGTGAGCGTCGTGGTTCGGTGCACACTCGCTAGCTCCTCCGGTGAGGGGCGCTCCCCGCGATCACTGACCTCTGCCCGGCAGCGATAGGTCTCCTCGAGGACCAGGGCGCATGCCGCATTGCCGGACACCGTTCGGTACCGGTACCGGTTATGGCCCTCGCCGCCATTATCCGCTGTGGTCTACGCAGCAGCGGTCTGGTTTTAGCAGTGAGAGCCTCGGCCGAGATAGGCGCCCCGTAAAGGGCCATGCTCCTTCTCCTTCGCCAGCAAAGTGTCGACGGCGGCCGTAGCTGGACCCTCCCACGTTAGGGCGCGTTCCCACTACGTCGTGACGACAGATTGTCGTGCAGTTTACAGTGCCGTGGCTTGTATATTTAAAAGTTGTTCAAATGTAGCACGACACGATTATCTGTCGTTCACGATTTTTTATCGTTACAACGAGAAACTGTCGCCACAGTTAGAACGACAGTCGTCAGACGATAAAAAAACGTCACGATAAAAACTTAACGACAGATGGTCGCACCTCACTATTGTCGTCACTTTTTATTTATCGCTGTCCGCACGTATTCTGCTCCCTGCCCTCCCCTCTCGTACCCCGCGCCCTCTGCTCGCTTTGCAGTAGCGTTGGGTTGTAGCCAGAGATGGGTAAGCGCCCGAGTCTTAACCCGGCGCTTTGTTAACTCCGGGTTTAAATCGGGTTAAAACCCGAAATCGAGGGCCAAAACTATTTACGTCTAAATATTTGTTGTGAATTGAGTTTTGTTCAATGAATTGAATTTAATCATACATATTATTACAAAACATTTGTTGATTTTTTCAGTTCGATTTACCTTTCTATTGAATAGATTCGCTTAAAAAGTTTATCAATAAATTGATACAAATAATCGTTAGATCGTATGGACTTGAATCGATCTTCATTGAGAATCCACACGATTGACAGATGGTGGGTGTTATGTGGAGATGCCTCTTCTTCGTGTATTAAAAATATAGAAATTTGTTACAAGTTATTGTATATTATATTGTTAGTGTTGGAATTATACCAAATTCCCACTCTTCGTTTCTGCCTACGATTTTGGGCAGAAATGGGTTAAAACTCGGCGTTTCGGGTAAAATTCTGGTGAAAACACGGGCGGGTTGATTGGGTTTTAACCCACTGCCAATCTCTGGTCGTAGCAGGTTTTGACAATACCGAAAAGAAAGCAACTTCGTATACCGTTTGACATAACCGTAATGGAATTCTTTTTAGTAGCATTGGATGTACCCAAAACTCTCTTTTCTTTGTTTGCTTCCTCTTCCGCATTTTTAACAAGTAATAAATTTCGTCTTCATCCATTCACACACACTACCGGCTTCCAAAAGAACATACAACTACAGCGACTGCAGTGCATCAAACGATTCTGTCGTGCAAACGACAAGGAGGCTGTCGTGAAACGATAAATTGTCGTCACTATCTAGTGGGAACAGCTAGTCACGACAGTCGTTCAACGATAAAAAATCGTCCACGACAGATAGACGTGATATGGGAACAGGCTAGACACGACAGTCCTCCAACGATAATAAAACGTGACGACATAGTGGGAAGGCGCCCTTAGGCAATAATTTGCCGAGCGCGGCTGCGGCGCTCACGAGTCGGGGGCACAGCCGGCGGAGATGCTCATGGAAGTTCCACCGGCTCTCGAGGGTCAGCCCTATGTACTTGAGATGTGGGCTCACCCTCATCCTTCTGCCTTCCACCTCCACTCAGGAACCGGGCGGAGGCCCTCTACGAGGACCATGGAAGGCAATGACTTCCGTCTTTTCTAGGGCCACCCTCAGTCCTAGCTCCCGTATGCGGTCGACCAACCGGGCGCATTCACTCGTGGTCAGCCGTGACGCCTCCTCCCAATTCCTCCCCCGGGCGAAGACTAGGGTGTCATCAGCATAACAGATGACCCCCAGTCTCTCGGGGAGAGAGCCTCGGAGCACGTAATCGAACTTAACCTGACCTAACCGAACCTAATAGTGTCTTTGCGATAAACATCCAACACATCCTGAAAGAACAAAGGTTTCGTTATAATTCGGTTTTCGGGATAATGAAATTTCGAACAAACGTTATTTCGGAAAAAATAAATTAGAGTTTGTGATAGGTTACCCATTTTTACACCACTTTTATAATGATCGACACATAGTGTTATAATACACAAATTATTTTAATTTAAATATATTGAAATACCTATGTTATCATCTAGTTTAAAATAGTTTACTTATGTATAAATAATATGATAAATTACACTATAGCGGTGGCAGTTTGGAAAATTCAACAATTCTTCACAAACATTTTGCTAAAGAGATAAACAAATACACACATCAAAAGTGTCTAGGGATCAAGCACGTTTTTACCAATTACGGAAATTCATGTTTTTTTCATTAAAACACCGAAGGAATTTCTTTTTTCACTTTTATAATTTGAATTTGAAAATAAAATTAATCAAAACAATAGTTCAGTAATAAGCAAAAACGGGCCGTCCACATCGCCCGCATGGTAAATGACAAATGGGCAAATAAAATTACCACGTGGACAGGACCACAAAATAGGTGAACCAAAGGTAGAACAAAAGAGAGACGGGAAGATGAAATAAACACAGCAGCTGGCAAATACTGTATAAGCAAGGCAAAAGACAGAAAGTTTCTTGTGGTGAAATGGAGGAGAAAGTTCAAGTTAGTTAATTGAACCTTTGTTCGAAGAGAAGTCCCTAATAATGTGTTATAATTATTATTAATCGTAAAATTAAATTTATTCAATTAATTTTTCATTATTATTATTATTATTATTATTTTATGTTGAATTATTATTATGAATCTATGTATTAAGGAAATAAATGATGCTTTATTATTATTTTTTAATAAGCAAAAAAGTGCTCGACCGCGAAACAGTTTTGATGTGTTCGCACATAGGTGCTAAGTTTACCTTGTCAGCTGCTAACGTGGTCTAATCAAAACATATGTTTCCTTTTGCCTTTCAGGGAGTGGGGCAAGTATACAATGAACTCCGATCGAAAGGCGTCGAGTTCCCAATGACAGATCTTGATGCAATGGCTCCTATTTTTACGCCACAGAGGGTGAGTGTCGAAACAATGGAAAGCCTCTTACAAGAGGCACTGTTTTACCATGCACAGCACGTACACTCACATATTTTTATATAAACGCGGTTTGGTTTCACAATGAAACTCAACCGTGTAATCAGTCCTTAATTTCAGGATATAGATGGCGTTTTATATGTGTATGTATATATACAATATATAGCGCTTTTGTTAGCGTTCCTGTGTGCCTAAATTGCAGCTATACTAAAATCGTTAATTTGACAACAATCTGTGAATCTGACCTTAATAAACTCAATATAATATTATACAAATGTAATCATTAATTTATGGTGGTAAGAAACACACTTTTCTAAGGTGGTTGCAGTGCTACTCAGAGCTTTAAAGAGCAAATATCTGAGGGACACTGTAACAGCGTCCGTCACCCTGAGTCATAAGTTGAGAAGTCCTGTCATTTCACCAGCAACCATTCCCTTTAAAACCGGACCGCAGTAATGCTCACATGATTGCTTGGCGGCAGGAATAGGTAAGGTGGCAGTACTTCCCTGGACGAACTCGTTCACAAGGCACTCTACTGCAAGTAGATAATTATCACATAATATTTTAAGTTCTTATAATATGTACATTAGGAATTAATATCGAATTTTGTTTACTTCGTTAAATGAGTCATTGTAGATTGCTCCTGGGATTTATTGATAACTCCATGACTAATGTGTTGTGGGATGTAACGAACGTATGTAATCTAAATACACAATAAACGAATAATTTAGATAAGTCAACAAATTCGTGTATTCAGTTCAGCTCTATACACGAAAGGATTATTTTTAACATGTCTACTGTAGGAAGAATCCATATGTTAACTGGAAAGAATCCATAAGAACGCAGGTGTCCAAAGTGACACATTAGTGCTGAATACAAGTGCATCAAAGAAATGTTTTTATATGTGCACTTAATCAGCATTTTTGACAAAAACAAACAAGTTGCAATTAATATTACGGTGCATACACATACGGTGCATAGAGCTCCTTGTAAAAGAGTTCGCACAGGGAAGTATTGTCATCTTTTTCGGCCGCTGGTAAGAGTTCTGGTGAAACTACAGCCACATGGGACATGTCAACTATATCTGCGGGTGACGACGCGCAGTGACACTCAGGTTTTTGCGATTTAAAGCTCTGTATGGCACTGCTACTGTTATAAATAGGCGTTTAGCGTACAACTAGGCGCAAAACTAGCACAAAAAAATAAAAATATTAGTGCAGATGCACTAGGATCTATTTTTATAATCTTTAAATATCTCATGTTATATGCTTTTTAAGCTTTTTTAAATTTGAACTAATTCTATTTTCGTTTTACTGCAGAGTGTACCAAATGGCGGCGATCAAGTGGCGGGCTCACCGCAGAGAACAGCTGCACAGAATGCGCCCAGCCTACAGACGCAAGAAATTTCTGGCACGGTATGTCAGTCGACAGAATCTCATACATTATTTACACACGACGAACGGTAGAATGCATATTTGTATATAACAAACAAACACCACATTAAGGCTGCTAACAGATTGACTGCATGTTTGCAGTTAATGCGATGATAACAACTTCACGCATTAACTGCATGCAGTCGAAATTCAACAGCATGCAGTTAAGACATCAAACTGAAAGCCTAATTTTTTTTGCGTCAAAATAACTTTTTTTAGTAACCGCAAAAGGTGAAATAATTATTTGAGGGTTTAATGAATATTTTGATCTTGTCTTAATTTTTTTTCATATTTCATATTCATTTATTTCCATTTCACATGGATGATAAACTTATTCATGTGATACCCTGTAAGGGTGTAGCAAAGTTACAATGGAATTTAAATACATTGCAAGCTTGAACGTAGTTAATTAGTTTAGATAATTAATTATATTATGGATTCTATAATTATTAATAAACATAATTATTACACAATATTTTTATCTCAAAATTAATTAAATTATTATTTTTATAATTATTAAACATTTTTATTACTATTACGTTTAATTTAATTTCGTTTATTGCAATTCACATTTTAATAAACTTAGAAACATACATGTGTAATTTCGGGTACAGTACATAAAAGCACCTTCTCTATAGCAACATAACAATAGTGAATCTAGCCACGCTTTACACACGAAGCAGAAGTAACGTCCCTGCTTCCATCTCGACGTCAACTTTCACACTGAGATCTTGAGTTAAGCGCGCGGTGATAACTGCCAGCAGCTAATGTCGATTGCATGCACTGGGTCTCGTCTGCGACGAGTTGTATTATACGGACTTCGGCGCGTGCAGTTCATTTAGTACCAGCCTTACTTTTAGTAAATAAGATTTTCGTCACCCTTGCTTTTAGGTATGTAGTATTATACAACGTGCAGCTAAACTATAGTCTGTCTTTTTAAAAATGGAGTAAAATGACAGTTCATTGTGCAAGTGTTGTCCGCGTGCAAGCAGCTAGTAATTATATCGAATATCGACTGAATGTTGGTTACGCTTATGAAATAAATAGCAAAATTTGTTTCATTTGAATCATCATATATTATATTATTCGTAATAAAATTATTTTTCACTCGCATCCCGATCAAAATACGTCATATGAGACTATTTGATCAGTACCCGAAGGAAAGACTTCATTATAGGCAGGTCTCAATGTCCACCTGGTCATCAAGGTCGTCGGCAATATAGTGCCTAAGATGTTTAAAACTATACACACATGTTAGATTGGCATCATTAAGTTTAATGAGTGGTACTTTAACGTTGCAATTATACACGAACCCGTATTCGCCAGTGTACCTCTCATAGATGCCCAGCAGTCTCCTGAGGGCCCCGACCGAAGAGCACAGCTGCGAGAAGTCGTCCACGTAATAATGTTTGTTGTAATTTAGCATATTCTGTGATATTTACATTATTGTTGTCATTGTATTTTTTTAATGTGCAATAAAGAATATTTCGTCACAGGCAACCCTATCAGACAGTCAAACTAACAAGCTCCGGGCCGATCTAGCAGTGGTGGAAGGCAACATGACGGTGATGAGCGACATGCTGGCGGAACTGACGCAGCAGCCGCCGCACCAGCATCACCAGAGCGACATTGATCTGTTGAACGTACGTAACCACTTGTTCGTGTCAAATTAAATTGTCACGCCGCCATAAATACCGTCGGGATGCACTCGAGTAGCACTGCGTGAGTTGTCTTACGCACCTTTCATTATAGAATTGAGCGTTTACTCGGTGTTTCAAAATTACATAAAATAGCACACGTGTTTATTGTTGTGTTTATGGTTTGAACAAGAGTGCCTCTAATTCAGCATTAGATAGATGGATAAAAACTTTATTCACTACCATGACAACTTATTTATTAAAATCAACTATAACTAACATTTAATTGTTATGTTAAATCACTTAAAAATAACAAATAACGGAAGGAACTTACAACTTTACGTAGCACTAACTAAACTAAATAGTGTTGGAAATTATGGCCGTGAAAAGACACGAGTTTCATCGCACTCACGCCGCGTGGCCGCCGCGCAGTGGCCGCTACATCTACGTACATCTAACTGTCATGGCGAAATACGCTCTATTTGTTTAGTTTTTTACGTTTTAACGTAAATGAGCGTCCCGGGCGCGCAGGCGAGTCTGGCTTGTCTTTGATCTGCGCGGCGACCGCGCGGTTGTATTATTCCTAGGGTGTTGTTGTTGCTGCCTAGTACATAGAACTTACATTCGCCATTAATGTACGAGAAAGCGTAGTAACGGGGCGGTCGCCGCGAATAATTTTGCGTCGTGTTACTGGGCGGATACTCAGCATAAAATAAAGAATAAAACTTCCTTAATCGGGATAAATTAGTAAATATAACTACGTCTGCTATCAAAACCACATTGATGTTGTTGATGAATTTGTAAAATAATCCATACTAGAAAGGAATTTGTAAAACAACTGACGACAAATGTCGTTCGTAGGAGCTGGCAGATACATTGCGCGCGATGCAAGTCCGCGTGGCGGAGCTAGTCGCGCGACTGGCCGTCGACTCGCCGCTCTGCGCAGAGCTGCTGCACACCAACGACACGCTGAACAACTTGTTGTTACGTCACTCGCGCTTCCTGAGTAACAGGTATTGTAAATTTTGAGCTTATAGAGAAATAGGACGTAAATGGTTTAAAACAGTCGTCAAAATCTAAAACAAGCACCTCTAAAACCTGAAAAAATCTCATAATAATGACGAACACACTCATTGCACTAGGGAAACCCCGTATCGCGAGTGCCATGGACACACACACAGACATCCACAAATTACACCCACTCACGAGAGAAATAAATATAGGCCATACAAATATTTCTCCCGGCCCGGGAATCGAACCCGGGACTTCTACGTGGCAGTCTTGGTATGGCATGGTAACCGGTCGGCCACGGAGGCAGTTAAATAGAATAGACCTATACATACAGGGCACAGTACAAGTCTACTTCCCATCAAATATGTTTATAATCAACTCAATACAAAAATGGAGCGACTCTGAGAGAAATCAAATTGTTTATTTATTTATTATATCGCTTCGGCACATACATGGAGAAACTTGCAGTGTTTTGTCGTATACATTTTTATACAGTGTGTTATACCATTACAGGCGTATACAGCAATTACGCAAGATAACTTCAGAAACTAATAAAAAAATAGACAATAAAAAATAATATATAGAGAAAAAGAAGAAAGAATCTGCTATGAGATAATCGAACAAAACTCCTTATCACATTCATCTTATTATCACAGTGTAAAGAACATAGTCAATCGAACACGTGACCTCTGCGTGGCAGTCCAGCATGGTAACCGTTCGACCACGGAGGCAGTTCAACCTGTATAATATACAGTATTGACTAGACGTGCTTATCACTTTCAGAAATGCAGCAACTGGTGCTACTCCATCAGCCATTTTGGGCGCCGCAATGGGTGTACCTGCATCAACCGACTCGCGTAAGTTATGCTTTAGAACAGAGTTTCTTAACCTGTGGTCAATGGAGGAGGAGTCCGTGTAACGAATACTGGGGGCCCATGGTCAGCTTACCTAACATAATGCATTAATATAAAAATTGGTATACAATATGTTGTAAAGAAATGGGTACCTTTTTGAATTTTCGCGCCGTTTGACTGCCACCATTATTGGAGCGAGCGAGCCTTTCTTCTTCTTCATCTTTTCGAAAGGGTCCGTGGATTCATTGACACTTTGAGAGGGGTTCATGACTAGAAAAAGGGTAAGAAACCCTGCTTTAGAATATATTCTTTGATTCTCATTTATATTTTCACAGTAGATGTGCTTGTGAAAGAGTTCGTGGAGAGAAGATGCAATGTACCTATTTCAGCCACCAAGCAGCAATGCGAGCATTACTTCATTCCGGTTCTGAAGGTTAAGGGTGCTGGTGAAATTACAGGCGCATGGGACTTGTCAACTTTATGTCTCCGAGTGTCGGGTGCAGTAGCAATGCCTCTCAGATCTTTGAGATTTAAAGCTCTAAGTGGCACTGCAACTGTTATGGATAGGCGTGTCGCTTTGCCGTCTTTTATTTCATAAAAAAATAGTACATTGTGTATTAAGGACGTTAAATAAGAAATTACTAACGAGGGTCTGTCGACCTAAATTGTCAAAAGCAAAGGCGCGTACAGCCATGACGGACTCTAAAAAAAAGTTGCTAAATTTTTATTCAATATAATTATTAAAACAACAATTAAAAGAAATTCTTAGTAATAAGTATTTAAGTAGTATATGGCTGAATTGCAATGACATTCCTGTTTAGATAATATTTTAAACGAATTTTAATTTTGAACACAAGTAACCTCCTTGCTTGAACTTGACCTATGTAAGGAAGTATGTCGTGCTACAAATTAAAAAAAAAACTCCTCACCGACCATAGCTGTAATTGGAAGAAAAAAGGCCCGAGGTTTTTATTTGGGGCATTATACTCAAGTTAGCCACCATGCAATCGTACAATTTACGAACAAGTGTGATGAAAACACTTATTACTAAAATCAAAATGAATAATTAAATTATTTCCGTTTTTCAGCTAAGAAAACCAACGATGACTCATTAATCGATCTCAGCGACGATATGCCCGATGTTGCAAAGCTTAGTAAGTTCTATTTACTTATTCAATCATATCTTACTACCATGATATACTACACTGTCACCATTAGATGAAAGGCCGCAGCTGAGAGACGCGAGTCCAGATGTTCCCGCGACAGTACGTACGAAATTTACGACTGTGTGTTGCGGCCCTACAAAATCTATGGAAGACTTGCATTCGGTACGGCTTTTCCCTTGCGGAATTCCAAATGCACAAACCACAGATAAATCCGTGATTCGTATGGTTTTGCTGGATTCCGACTGTAAAGTACATTAAAAATGGACGTTATTTGGTGACTATATTTATCTAAACTTTGCGACGAGTTGTTGCACCTACCAATTTTTTGGAATATTTAGGAAAATTCTTACAAAAAAATCTTACTGTTTCTGACAATTTCGGTAAATTATATTTATAGAAACAGTAAGATTTTTTTTGTAATTAGACACCTCTTATCTGTCGCGCAGCGGTGAAAGACCCCAAGCAAGAGAAATCCCCCGGCGGCAGTTCCAAGGACGAGTTCGACATGTTCGCGCAATCGAGAAACGTCACCTATGAGACTTCCAAAACTGGGTAAGATCCGCTGTTCCATACTAAATGTTTCATGTGTTGAATTGTGTATGGCCGAGCCAACGAGTCATTTTATCATTCAAAATTTTATGAACACTATTTGGTTTTGAAAATTGGTGATATTTCCGAGTATCGTATTTTTTTTTCGTGATTTGTAAGTGAGGAAATTCGCTATAGTAATATTGTTCATATTGATTTGTAGACTCACCTATCGTAAGTCTACTTATAAAGTATATCAAGTAAGTAAACTTTTGTAGTCTCGCACTAGTTTATAAAGAACCGTATATAGTACGTACTACACACACCAGCACATTTGCCGGAACGAAAAAGTGAAAATATAAAATATTAACATTTGTATTTAAACAAATAAGAATTAAATTGATGTATTTTAACATAGATTCAGTACAGCCTTACTCAACCTTTATAGAAAAAATGAAAAGTAAACTTTTTTTTTACATTTTGTGATAAAGCAGAAACAGTTGAAAATTAAAAAATTGTACCAGTTTAACATTGATTAAATCAAAGTTTAATAAATTTTAAGACTTTTTCAATTAAAGTTAACGATATTTACCAGAACGTAAAATCAACATTGGAACTGCTCGACAAACCTGTACTAGTAGGAAATTAAAACAAGTGGTTGAAAAAAATGGCAGGCGACTAATTTTTTATTATCAAATTAATTATAAAACCAAAAAATGCCAGACTTGAAAAAACACTGCACTATTTTGTGAATTTGACTAGTATTCCGTTAAATGTGCTGGTATGTATACTATAAGATCTATGGTTCAGTACACTAGATATGTAATAATTTAGAAACCTTATTACAGCTGCAACGTTAATGTTATAAAAGAAAGGCAATACGGTTACAAAACTAATTGAATTCATTGTTTGCAGTGGCAGCAGTTATGCGGACAACATGGCCGACCAGTCATCCAGCAGCCTTGCCTCCGCAGCTAGCCAGCGCGCTACTCAGGGACAGCCATTAGTGCGTATTTATTATTTCGGAGAAAATACATAAACAATATAAATAAGAAACAGTCAACTAATGAAATAAATCATTGGTATCGCCTTTTTTAATAACTAATATTTACTTGAGATAATCATTTGGCCGCATCAGCCCCCGTAGCATGGCTACGCAAGATAAAATTGAAATAAGTGCGCTATTGCCTATCTAATTAGATTTGATTGACACAGCCAATAGCGCGCGCTTATTTCAATTTTATCGCGCGAGTCGCGACTATAATGCATAGCCATGCTACGCATGATAGTCGCAGATCTAGGAAGTCCAAGAAAGTATTACGACCGTGTGCTGGCAACCGGTACTATCTCAAATTTGACAACTTTACAAGATAAAGAAAAAACTTGTTTGCGTCATTTGTATAGCATCTGGTTTATTAAATAAAAATACGTAGTTTTGAACTATTTGTATTACACATGTATTTAAAAACAATTGCATTTCTGGCAACGCTGCGGAGTATGAAATAGTATAAAATGGTATTAAAAAGTGAAATCTTTAGAAAATTGAGATAGTACCGGTTGCCAGTTCACAGTCCATTATACTTTTATTTCTGCCGACATGCGGTGTGGGCATTACTGCGTTCCGGTTTTGACGGCCAAGGGTACTGATGAAATTACAGGCACATGGGACTTGTCAACGTAAGTCTCAGGGTGACAGGCGCAGTGGCAGTGTCCCTCAGATCTTCGTGATTTAAGTGAATAAGGTGGTTTAATGTGAGTGTCACTGCAACTGTTATGGACAGGCGTGTCGCTTACCACCAGGCGCACGACTTGTTCGTCCCGTCACTTGGTATTATAAAAGAAGTATGGTACCACGGCTCTTGGTTCGGATCATTATATGCCGAAGATGTGTTCTTGCCAACTTCGTTTCTTTTTTTCTTCTAACCGGGGTGATGTCGAAAAAAAATTGATACAAAGACCAAACAAACAAAGATTCCTTCAATATGATGGCCTTCGAACCAGCGTCAGTCTGTCATACCGGGGCTAATAAATAATAATAATGCACACACTCATAGCCCCGCACTAGGGAGAGCACACATAGACCACCACAAATTACACCCGAAACGAGAAATAAATGTAGGCCACAAATATTTTTCCTGGCCCGGGAATCGAACCCGGGACCTCTGCGTGACAGACCGACAATTTTTGGTGTAAATGGGCCGGCGAGATTTTAATTCTGGTTTCACCTCGTCTAGCCTCGCCAATGGAAAATTTTATTTCCTAAACGCTATTCAATTTTGAAGACGAGTGTGAATAGGCATTATTTAGGTGTGCATGCTTCATCGTCGACCTTATCGTCACTGTCCATCAAGTGAGATGGGAGGTCAAGGAGGTCAAATACGCACGTATTTTTTTTTATATAAAAAAAAGAACAAAGTACTAAATAATTTTAATCTCGTTACCATTTTAAAACTCCGAGCCAAAGTGTATCCCGTCTCATTTCTTTTTTTGAAATCTCTATATGGGATTTCATTTTCTGAATTGACCGATCATAGCCGATCGTTCAGAAATTGATTCTAATTGAATCAATTATGTCAGTACAAAAAAATATTATTATTTCAATCTTTCATTCAATTATTGAGCAGAACCCACTGAATCCCTTAAAATTACTTAGCAGAATACTATCATCAAGTATTCCGCTTACTTAACGGATACTTAACCAAGTATTCCGCTTAGTAATTTTATCGGTAAGTAATATAACTGGGGCGAAATCCTAAAAGGACACCGCCAATAAGTAAAAAGAGAAGAGTTATTGAGCAATCGTCATAATTAATATTACCTATCATAATAATCTCCTACCAGCAGAGATCTCGTAATTAAACCAGAATCAAATGTAGCCATCCCTGATGAGGCAGCAAATGCTGGTGGAGTCCAATCGGATCGAAGGAATTTTTCTTTGTTTTTGTTCGATCTCTACATAAATAATAATAATAATAAGGTAATGGAGTATTTGTACAGAAAAATATGAATATTGTGGTAGTAAAACATAATGTTATTTGAATAAAAGAAATATTGTAGGACAGGAAGTTATCCAGTTATTTGTTATTTTTTTATTTAAAGATGTCTCTATATTCTACGCTTTTATAAATTATTTACCTATTAGGTAGTATATATTATATAATTATTATAATTTTTCTGTCATTACCTACGATTAATTTATATCTATTTTTTATTTATATATTTGGTTTTGGTTTAAACAGCCGTCGGGCATCGACGAAAGGGAGATTGATGAGATTGCCGCGTGGCTAGAACAGGAGAAGGTGTGTTTATTTCATGCATTTTTTTTTATTATTATTTTAAGTTAGCTTCTATCGCATAAGCGCTATATTTGGGCTATGAATCAATTCAAAACTAGTCCGACTTTCTTTGGAACAAAAGACGACGAGGACGGTGTTGACTAAACCTCTGGCAAAGAAGACACTCCTCCTGGACGTCCTACAATTGTACAAACAGACCGTACACGCTTTATTGTCGCCTCAGCTCGTCTAAGCTCAAATATCCCTTGTGTAATATACCCTTTACACCGCTACACTTCTTTTCTTTAATTCTTCTACTGTCACTTCATAATATAAATACCTTTTTTTATATTTATATGTCTTGCGTTTTTTTTCAAACCAAATTAAAACAAAAATGGTTAAAAAAGCATCCATGATATATATAAACACCGACGGCATCACAAACAATACAGCACTCATTCACGAAACACGAAACCTATGGTAATTACTACGTAAATTATAAGTTAGCGTCTCCTTTTTCACAAACTTCGACGGAAAAATGTACAGAGTCAAGAGCACGTCAAGCTTGACACCTGATTTAAATTCGACCCTATGCCGTTTATGATAAGAACGGTTCAAGGTGTCGAGCTTGATGTGCTTCAAACTCGATTCAGAATTTTATGTTATTTCAATGTGACATGTAAATAATTTATGTTATTCGAAAATTGTAAATTACCATCATCAAATGATTTCGGTGAATCTAAGGTGACTAAACTTCATCAACCATCAAGGAAATGTATTTAAACAATTATAAGTAATTTGTTACTTTCTAATCGTTTACCCTTTAAATTAAACTTCAAAAAAAATTTAAACACATCTCTTTTATAATTTTTTTTGATAGTATGTTTAAACCCACAAATATCCAGCAGGCGGCGTCAGAATCCAATGGAGCACAAGAAAGCGTAACGAGCAGTGACTTCGACAAATTCCTTGCCGAACGGGCGGCTGCGGCCGACAGTTTACCGAATGTCGGCGAAAATTCGGCCACGCCGAATCAGACGCCGCGCCATCGCCACATCAAGAAGGAAGACCCGGACGCTATGTTCGCGCTCTGATCATCTGACAAACAGTAAAACGCAGTTTTTTGGGATATTTCGATGGATTTACAAAAAGATCGTCGCAAAGAAGAGGGAAAAACTCGTTAATCGTAGTTATAAGATTGCTTTCATGAAATGACGACGTAGAGGATGTTTCGAAATGGTGAATTAAAATTTTACGGGGCCTAAAATAACGACCTACACAAATACCTGATAACATGTTGCTTTAATCTCCAAAGTTGTTCAACCAAATTTATTCTCGAGTAAAATAAGCAACTTAAATTTTATCTCACCATTTGAAACACTTTTTGTGTAATGATTAATCCTTTAAATGTAGAACAGTCGAAGACAGAATTTTTTTAGCGGTAGGCTGACGTCATAAAGCGAAATACAGCCCGGTGCTACAGAAATTCTAGCTCATTGTTGCTATTTAAGCTACAATTTTAACTAATTTATCTGCCAACCTATTGACAATGTCACTGTTTAAACCTCTATTGGTAGATTGGGCGACATTAAGTAAAAATAATAATAAGAATAATCTGTCAAAATGTAAACAGTGTCTATTTTTTCGGATCTAATGCATTTGGTAACAGGTGAAGGACCTCGAGTTCATATTTTGGAATTTAGCCGTTTTTCACAAACACTGCTTTAGAATGCTTAAAATTACGCAATGGTAAAGGGTATTAAGTTCTATAATTCTATAGTTTTTAAAAAACGTTTGTTTTTTATTTAATACATTTTAATTGGCCTTAAGAGACTATACCATCTCTATACTAACTAGCTCGAATTAAAATTTTTTGGATTCGTGTTTTCGCACCATATAGTAATCAGTGTGTATCCTCAATTTTACTATATATTTTTTCCAATGTGATAGATTCAGCACTTTCACTGTTATGCGAAGTCAACCGAAGCCATTCGAGGTAGTATAGACTGTTAAGGTTAATTTTAAATGACGATATGTCGTAACTCCACTTATGTCATTCTTCCATGAGGGGAATTGGCTTTTATTGGTCCCACGGTCACGGTTGACACGGCGACCATGGGACCTGTAAAGGTTCCGAAACGTTAGTTTGTTTGAAAAAATAATAATAAACGCCATTTCCTCTCATGGAAGAATGACATAAATGGAGTGACGTCAAAACCGTTTATTCTATAAATAATAAATATCTACAATATTAGTCGATAGAGTTACAAGAATTGGAGAGGATGTGGGTTTCTATGTTTCTGTATCTAATGGAGCAATAAACATGTTTGACGTAACTGCTCTTATGCCATTCTTCCATGAGGGGTGCGATTTTGTTCCGAAAAAATAGTTTCATTTCCTATGTAAAACAATCGTGAAAACCTAACAACTCAATATGTAGCGTGTCGTCGTTTTTATTACTACTGTTTCTTTTGCCAGATAACAGTAGAAAGAGTAACTTAAACAGCCGTAAAAAATGCTGGAAACCAATGCCACCGGGCTATTTTCGGTTATCTAGCTTCTTTAGCAGTGACAAACAAACTGTAACGGTTCTATGTACAACAAGATTTTGCCGTGGCTTGTTCCGTTAGGTTATAAATAAGTAGACGACTTCCAAAAGTAAGCAACCTGTATTCAACTGTTTATAAAATAACGTGCACGCAATACTAAACCCATTAAAACTATGTTAGTAACTAATAATAAGAAGAATCTAAGTATATACATCGAAATTTACCATCAAAACCTTTTAATATAATGCGTATTTGCCGACTAGATTTTAGTATAGTAAACACGCGTCGTACATAGCGTTAGAGAACGTTGTTATTGCATCGATTTCCCGATTGATTCACGTAATACAATTGTATAATAGGATTATTTGGTGGCAAGAAACTTCCAGAACTAGTTGTTTTGTTTTTGTAATTAGATATACCATATTAAGTACATAAATATAAATATTAGACGACATCACTACGTTGTCCTGACCCCGAAGTAACTGAAGCACTTGTGTTATGGAAATCGGAAACAACAACGGTACCACAAACGCCCATACCCGAGACAATATACAAGAGTTCGTTTCATCATTGACCCGGCCGGGCATCGAACCCGAGACTTGGCGATGGCGACACTATGAAACCTCGACCACAGAGGTCGTTAAAATCGTCTTAACAACTGTTTGTAGGCCGATTTCGTAATAGCACATAACTGAATCAGGAGGTCCCGGATTCGATTCCTGGTAGGACCAATTTGAAAAATGAATTTTTCTAAATTTATTCTGGTCTGGATGTCCTGGGCGCCCCGGAGTGAATTCCTCGGTTTGATCAGGTAAACGTCTTGTCTGACACATTATTAATAGTTGCGATTATTGTTTATTATTGCCTTTATTCAACAAAACACACAAATGTTTAAGTTTATGAACGTTTCTCCACCATTCCCAGTTTTTTTTACATAAATGAGGTTAGTCCACATGTGGCTATAATGAACTATATATTTCTACATAGGATCGATTGTAATGTTGTATTATATTGGAATAGCGTACAATATCGTTACGCTGGCTTATATGGTGGTAGTCATGGCAACATTTGCTAATGTTGCATGACTCATTGAAATTACTTTGTTGTACACTAAAGGTCAATTGCATTGCCGCGAAACGAAAGCGACCTCTTGTAACAAAATTATACATAGCATAATTAACTTTGTATCAATTGTGTATCGCACGAACTAGATTATGCTACGGTATGTCATTCACGAGGAGCTCTACTGCTTTATGAGCAGTAGAGTTCATTCAAAGAGGTACTGCTACCATACCTATTTCTGCCGCCAAACAGTAATGTGAGCCTTACTGCCTTCCGGTTTTGAAGGGTAAGGGTGCTGGTGAAATTACAGGGCTTTGTTGGGCTTTGTCAATTTATCGCACTTGAAATACTGTCATAATTCACAAATTGGTGGAATTGAGAAAACACGTATTGAAAGTAAAAAAAAATACTGAATGGATCTTATTGCGAATAATGTGGTTGTTTTTTTTATGAGACATTTTAAATTTATTGGTTTCATTCAGTAATTTTTTGGACTTTCAAATCGCGTGTTGTCAATTTCATAATTTTGAGTTACGACAGTATGAGGTTTCATGTGCATTATGTCTCAGTGGGGCGAGCGCAGTGGCACTGCAACTGCCATGGGTGTCGCTTACCTCCAGGCGTGTCGCTTACCACCAGGCGCACGACTTGTTCGATCTATCGCTTTGTATCTTAATAAAAAAAAATAACGTGAATGAGAATTCTCCGTAAAACTCGCGACCTGTATTTGATCTCGTATCTAGTTTGTATACACAATTGAAGTAAAATTCATGATGCTATTGTTACACAAATTAGCGTTCAATTCCTTTTGCGGCAATGTAAATTAAGCTTTAATGTCATAAGCATTAAAATAAAAAACGTCGCCGCAATTGAACATTAAATATACTAATGTAAAGTTTGTTAATGTTTGAAATGGTTTACAGAAGTTCTTGGCACCGAAAATAATTGTATTATTATAAACACTCGTAATTATACCGTTTGGTGCCTGGCTTCATGATAGTTGTTTAAATATTTTAAGCCTGCTAGACCCCTATGTTCCAATAATTGTTAAGAACACACTAAGAATTAACAAACACACCTGAGCTAATAAAACCACTCATTAGTCATTTTTCGGTTTATCGACTAAGGAAAATAAGGCCATATACTGAGTGAACTTTTTATATAACAATGTTGTAATCTATTCGTACTATTCGATTGGTGTTGTGTCTTATAAATATAGCGAATATTTCCTTATATCAATTTAAAGCATTTCAATACAAAATCCATTTTACAGCTTACTCACAGTATAAATGCTAAAGCGAGACCAATTCTTGCTATATGTTTTTTTAAACTAAATTTTGATAATTGTTAAGTGCCACTTTCTGAGATGTAAGTATGGTGGATAAGATTTATGAAAACGATTGAAACTCATTGAAAATTTAACCGTATTTCGTAAAGAGTACCTTATATATAATATGTATGGAGTTATCAGCTCTTAAAGATCCCTGGTGGCTAACGTTGGAAGTATTTTTGCCCTATAACATATCTCCAAAATCATGCTTTCAGTGGAAAGCATGACTAAAAGCAAGAACCCAGAAACCCAGGGCTTTCTGGGTTTCTTGTTTTTAGTTAAACATGTTTTGAAAGTTAATACACTGCCTTTAGGAAATATATTTCGAGTTTTGGAAAATTATCTGAAAATTGTATGCCAAAAAAGATGCTAGCGCCATCTATTGGCTAGCGAGGTCCATCTTTCTGAGCACACAAAATGTACGTAGTGATTAGACCGTAGTATTTCGTTAAAGCTGAGTTTAATTCGCAGTATCGAATCGACTTATTCAGATTAAGAAGTTCAAGAAATATCGACAGTTTTATACTTGAATTATAGTTATTCCAAAACTATATGGTATGCAATCGCCTTTAAATTCCTCTTGCAATTTTTATGGCATTGAAATTACTATAAAGTGTAAAGTCCATTTCGTATTACTCCAGGTAATTCGGATTAGTCCCTACTATAAAACACTTGTTGGATTTAAATAGAGCTGCCTGTGAAAGCATTTTTCCAGGGAAGTAAGTTGTGTGAACATTACTACGTTTCGGTTTTGAAGGGTAAAAGTGCTGGTGAAATATCAGGCACGTGAGACTTGTTAACTTATGTCTCAAGGTGACGGGCACAATAGCAGTGCCCCTTAGATCTTTGTGATTAGTTGAGTGGCACGACTTATTCATCCCGACACTGGTATCATAAAAAAAAACTTATGCAATCATAAGAAGTCTTAAAATCTTGTTCTAAAATCTAATTTGGTTTAAAGAAACAAATTACCAGAATTGGTGAACTAAGTATACCGCATCATTAAAGTGTATTCTAATCTAAAATTCCTAAGTTAAGTTAATACTAAGTAGATTCATTTAATATATTCGCGTAGACTTGATGAGACCATGGGAGCATTTAATACAAGACCGTTGGTGTTTTAATTTAAAATACAATTCCGAATGACACTAGTAACGAAATTTATTTATATACCAGTCGTATTAAAAATCTCTGACTCAATTAATTAAAATATTAGTACTATATAGTTCACGTGTATTGATTTGGATAGCAAAAGGTGTTTTATAAAAGTTGCTTAGTTACAAAAGATAAAATCCAGTCCTTATACATACAACGGCACATTTAACGAAACTAAAAGAAATGAGAATTTAAAATAATAACATTTATATTTAAATAAGAATTGGATATAAAGTTGCAATTAAATTAACATCGACTTAGACATCGATTTTTTTCCAACAAAAAATCGATTTTGTTGGAAAAAAATCGAATGCATTTGTTATAATGAAATTTCAACCATTTTTTAACTAAATTTTACGAAATTTATAACAAAGCAAAATCAACCTTGAACCACTCGATAAACCTGTATTAGTAAATTAAGACAAATGAATGAAAATAATTGCAATCTATATTAATCGAGAAAAAGAAAAATTTTTCAAATTAGTCCTAAAAAATAAAATAATCGACCAGACATGGAAAAATCACTGCATTGTATTGGGGATTTTATTGTTCTGCTAAATGTGCCGCTGTGTGTAGTTTCCAATATAATCAAGTTAAATTAAAAAGAAAACAAACCCGAGTACGTAGTTATTAGTTCAAAAATAAAACTACACCAGAAAGGCCAATATACGCACGTCTGGAGCTAGTATTCCTTTCCCGTTTATTAATATTTTATTGACCTACTTACACCTGCCAGCTTGATGTATGCAAGTGTGGTTGAATCTGTATTTTAGCCTTGTGTACCTGAATCTGTATTTTAGCTTTAAGCGCAAAAACCATAAACATTCATATGAAGTGCATGGACAATTAAAATCTTGCCGTTAGCTTGCAGTAGTCGGGACAAAACGACCGAGTCAGATGGTACTCATTGTGATAAAGTATTTTTTTTTATATATATTTTTAAATGATATTTTTTGCGCAAAGCATTGTTGCGCAATTTTTGTTAGGTTTAGCGACATTTTAATGCGTTACGCAGATTTAGTATAGGTTAGTACGACGCATGATTGTGCTAACGTTGTCGGCGCAGTGCGTAACAATCATGAATTGTATTTGTACATTTATTTTTTCTGAACAGCATTTTGTTTTTGTTGATTTGTTAAGAATTTAAGTTGAATATGAATTCAATTGTATAGTCTCGAAATTTAAGACGATAGTAGAGTTTAACTGCCTGTTTCTTGCTATTAAGTTCTTAGCCAGGAAATTGACCCCAGACAATTGATCAATTCATTTTAGTTGTTTCATCATCATTTTTTTAGTTCTTTATTTATTTCAAATCATGAATTTAATTACAGAAACGAAAACAATAATTATACTTGATTTCTCAGCGGTGGATCTTTTGCTAAGATTCCACGTGAAGAACTTATAAGGAATCAATTTGTTAATGCCGCAAGCATTGGCACCGCATTCATTATTAAAACTACGTGAGAAATCTCACCAGACTAGTTTGATTTCACAAATAACGGCATAAGTACTGTTATTTTAACTAATCGGCAAGGAGACATAAAAATATCGGAATAGCCATTGGTCACTGAAACCGCTTTTCCGCTCTCCTTTGGTAGAAGATAATGAGCCTTAAACTGCATTAGTTCTGTGCTGATAGTGTGATTTGATCCTAATTCTAAAGTTACCTAAAAAAGTTAACCCAACGTACCTTACCAAAGCAACCACGTGTTAACAAGTATAACGTAACCATTCCACATTCGTCTCAATTAAATGTTCTTTTGGTATAATGTGATAATTCAATGAGAACAAGCTTAATGTTAATTATTTAAAGAGTTATTTTATGTTGTAATCGTTGTATTTAAGATTAATAAAATAATTACTGTACCAATTTATCATTCGTTTTGTTTTAAATTTTTAACACCCTTAAGGCTCAATTTATATTGCGGCGGAACTGAATGAAAGCCAATTTTTGTAACGATATTGTACATAGCGTAATGAACTTTATGGTAAATTTTGTAACGTACAAACTAGATACGAGCCAAAAAACAGGTCGCGCCTCTTCCGCGGAATTCTTGCTCATACTCGAGAATGCTCGCGTATTCGCGAGAATTCTGCAGCTGCCGTCGGCAACGCCTGGCGAATCCGCGGAAGTGGCGCGAAGGCAGGCGCAGTGTGACGTCAAACGTCTACTATCGACTGTCTTTAGAATGTTCGAGCACTCCAGCGAACGCGCGCGCCTTCTCGCGCAGTGAGACAGTAATTGGCGCTTCCATCCCATTCCGTTCCGCCGCAGTGTAAATCGAGCCTAAATGTCCTACTACCAGTGGTATAATAGTAGAATAATATAGTGATGTGTTTTAATGTTCTAAATGCAGGGCGGTTTTGGAGAAAACTTATCCCACCCACAGTTCTTCGATTTTTATACTTTGAAATTACAAAAATTATTAAAACCCTAAAAAATTATAATATGACTAAATATCTATTAACATGAGTTTAACAGGAATTAAAAACACCAAAATAATAAAAAATGTGTATTACTTACGTACTTACTATCCTCGAACCAATTTATCACAGTTTCATAGGTCACACATTAGTTTAGTAGCAGTAGAACTCTAAGGTGGCAATACTTGCCTGAACGAAATCACAAGGAGATCTCCTGCTACTGAACTATTTAAAGCGACCTCTAAAACTAAAAAGCAATACGGATTTTTTATTATTTTGGCCAGAACTAAACCAAAAAATGTTCAGTATTAAAATATATACTTTTTGCCCAGGATCTTTTATTGTGCCGAAGGATATTAAGGGCAATCTATCGAGAATTGATTCTCGATAGATTGAATTTATTCAGGTATCCATTTTTTAAAGATGTTTTCCATACAAAATTATCAAACAATTAAAAAAAAATTGTCAAAAAATTTCCAATAAACTCGGCGAGTTGCAGCAAAATAACATTAAATTGATTGAACTTAGTTGTCTAACCAGTTCCCTTCACCAAAAATCAAGATTTCCAAAATTGATTGCTATGTCCACGAAAACGGATTTTCAGCCCGCCAACGTAGCGGAAAAGGAATATCTGTCAATAGTTCTCAAACACTAGCACAAACGTGTGGTGGGGATACGTAGCAAACTCTTGCCGCAAGCTTCCTTTGATTTGTGCAGGTGCATAAAAACCTGAAGGTATTTCGAATCAAAGTGCGGTAGCGTCTCATAGACAGCATTCGTCTACAACACGAAGGCCGTGATTGGTGCTTTTTTTAAATTTTTTGATGTTGGTAAACGCCGAACGCTTTGGCTAGAAAGTAGAAGCCAATCAGAGGGCTGTGAGAATTTTTTTACCAATATTGCTTACAAAAGAGAAGGATTTCGAGAGAGCGCAATACAATTTATTAAATACAAAGGCAGCCATTACGAATCTAAGCTTGTGAGTAGAGTCAATATAGTGTTCTGCAAAATATGTCGAAGTCTTTGAAATGGTAAGTGTTTTCCACATGTTTTATATCAAATTACTGGGAATTGAGTAGAGAATCTGTGTGTTTAACTTATTGTGGCCGCAAATGGAGATTTGGTATTGAAAAAATGTTAAAACTTATGTTTGTGCAATAATTTGTCTTGACTGCCGCGTGTTGTTTTACTCGTATCCAGAATTGGTTTATTCAAAATTGTATAAAATATAGCCAAGTATGCTGGGAATTTACATATGAATCTGTTTTTCTAGCCAGTTATGTCGAATTTCTCGAAACATCAGTAAATTAGTAAAAATCGAATTTCAAGACTCAATTTAAAACAAAATGCCGTAAAAGTACAGTTGGACTTGGATAAAAATATCTGACAAATTTTTTTTACTTGTTTATTTTCAATGAAAAATGCAAAGAAATTGATTGTATACATTTTTGTATACAGCATGTAACAAAATTCGACCCTGGAAAGGTAAAACGTGCATTTGGAAAATATTGCAGAAGAGAGATTTAGTAGAAAAATGTTGTCCTTTTTTAATGTTGTTGTAATTTGTTTCTAACGCATAAGCGTTAAGCGATACAAATCAAGTAGATTAGACCTGAGTGTAATGAACACTTTTTAATCTTATAATTTTTTCTCTACGATTATATTTTTACTTACTATAATATTACCGCTTATACAAAATTTCCTTATTTTTTTTACTTTTAATAAAAACTATTATTAATATAACTTAAATTTCATCTGCGATCGACAGTTTGTTAGAAAATAAGACCAGAAAATATTTCTTGGGACAATAATTGGGAAAAATAAAAGACATCTCTCGCCAGGACTGGTAGCTGTAAAGGTACTAACTGGGTGATAAATCTTTCATAATTTTCTCATAGATGGCGCTACGACTAAAAAGTCGTTGAAAAACCAAGTAAATACAAAGACACGACGCAAGCACATAGAAAAATTCGGGAGGTCCGTTGGTTCGTTCCGTGGCTTAGTTAGTATAGCGTCTGGCACGGTATGCAAGAAAACGTCGGTTCGAATCCGTCCGGATCGAAGGAATTTTTTCTGAGTGTTCGATCTTTGTATTAATGATTAAAAATAAAAGAGTTTTCAAAAATTTTCAAAGTTACTTTTTACGCGTGTTCCGAGGAGGTTTTAAACCAAGGTACACCTTTTATTCGTATTGTATTCTGCGCTTGATAGTTTTCGAGGAAACTGGTCACATGTTCAAAAACGCATTCTTCATTATGTTTTAGTAACGCCAGAGCAATGATGGCCCGGTCCCAGTCAAGGTCACGGTCAGAGACGCCTTCACTTTCAAGGACCTGTATGATGTTTGGCGAAGCCACCGGAGGCTCTTATGTAGAGTCTCAGGTGGAACTCGAACAGAAGCTGTGGCAGCCTGTTCTGTGAGTATTATATACCATTAGCATTATATTCAAATCATATAAAGACAGCTAAATAGTTAAATACTCTAATATTTTTAGAGCCCAGAAAACTGGGACTTCGGCAGACATATTTCGGGCCCCCTATGGTTCTGTGGGAGGCCTTCCCCAGAAGAATGAACTCCAGCAGTCCATTGTGAAATTAGTAAATGTATTTGAATATTTATTGGTCAGACTACTACATAGCTATGTTTATTTTTCATTGTAAGTCATTTTAGGAGGACAGTAGACCTCCTTGTGAAAGATTTCGTCCAGGAAAGTTCTGCCACCTTACAAATTTCTGCCGCCAAGCAGTAATGTGACCATTACTGCGTTCAGGCTTTGAAGGGTAAGGGTGCTGGTGAAATTACAGGCACATGGGATTTGTCAACTTATGTCTCAGTGTGATGGGCGCAGTGGCAGAGCCCCTCAGATCGTTGCGATTTAAAGCTCAGAGTGGCACTGCAACGGCTATTGAAAGGCGTGTCGCTTACCACCAGGCGCACGACTTGTTCGTCTCGTCACGTGGTATCATAAAAAAACTCGAAAAATATCCATTGCAGCACATAACCTATTACGAAGACTGTATACCAATTTTAATGTTTTTTGCAGCGCTGTACCGATTGAACGTGCGGCAGCGATGGACTTGGACGAAAAGGAGGGGGAAGCGGCGGCGGCAGAACATCGGAACTTCCGCTACCAGCTTGCTACTTCTCTTGTAGATCGCCACCTCCCACAAGAAATTTCAGGAACTGATTTCAAAGTTCAGAGACTGGACAGGGGTACTTTGCATGTTCCTGGGCTGACTCAGGGTAGCAAAAACAGAAAATATTGTCACATGTGTCTTCGGAATGGTATCAAGAAAAAGATATATTTGTATTGCATCACTTGCGACGAAGCCCTTTGCCCAGATGAATGTTGGACAGTTTGGCACACTGTCCTAGATCTACCTGGGAAGAATGTATATTCCCGTAAAGGTAGGCGGAAGTGACTACAATTTATCTTTTTCTGGTACCATTGCCTTGGTTTGTTTTTATACTAGCCGTTTTTTATCGGTTTGCCTTACTACATGCGTTCATGTTCGTTTTTCTGTTCAAAAGTAATCATTACTTTCCGTAATCAGGACAAATGCAAACAATACCACATTGTAAAACCAAATATTTACTTTGGGTATCTGTCAGCACTGGGCGAAATTCTTGGCACTCTTTTTTGGGCGGAGTGTTGTGATCTAAGTAGGTAATTATGTATTTATGCTAAGCCGAACGTTCTATTCTATGTGGTATAGATATGTGCCTGTGCACCTGCTGTTGTCCATATATTGCTCTCGATCGACTATTCATAATCTTACGCCGGGTACAGTCAGTTCATTGCTCCACGAACGTAGGGTAATTTTGGGATTTGGCCAATACAAATAATCTTCATGATGTCAACTAACAATTTGTTGTGATGCCCTTGGTCAGGCAGCTCATGTCGTACAATCACTTCATTTTGCTAAAGTTTATTCACTATGTGGACAATTCTGATGTTTTTCAATGGGCTTCCAATCTTTGTACAAATTAATGGAGTATTGTCACAAAATTATGTAAATATCACGGCAAAACCATTTATGGACATACTTCACTTCTGTCGTAATTACTTAATTATTGTAATTACAGACTATTACTGGACATTGGCCCATTCCCAATGTGCGTAATGGGGGTGGAATATAAGCTTTATTAACACCAGAGGAGGGTTAGTGTTTTATTTAGCTGATAAACTTGACCTGACTGATCTAACAGCCTCGCCGTAAACCCACTTGAGTTTATTTTCAGGTGTGCAAGTAAAAAAAACACTATTTTCTGTTTTTATTGTTTATTTATCAATTTCTGTACCCACAGTCGACTTAACGTGGATTTGGCATTGAGTGCATATAATATTTACATTTTGGACACAGAGTTACTAATTAGAATCCAGGGTAATTTTATATAAATATATTAGATTAAATATTTATTAGACATGTTACAATGACCGATAAAGCACCGTAGAAGATTTCATTAACGTATTGCATTAATTTAACGAAAATGTATGAAGACACGTACAAAAATACATCAACAAGTGCACCTTATAAATACTATTTCTTGTGATGAACAATAAAGTAAAATTAATTTTAATTGACAAAAACAAAAATTGCCGAAAATATTTACTAAACGAAAATGTAAACGCTTGTTCGATGAAACTTAAATTGTACTGGGCGAAGGAATGTGATTTCGCTATTATGATACAGAAATTATAAATACGTTAGTATTTAACACTAGCTGCTGACGTAATAAATTATGCATTTTAACTACAATTCCTGGCCACCAACAGAGATCCGAATTCAGAAAGTCAAAAGGAGTATTTACGCTAAAATATCAAAGATAGTGCATCGAAAACAACTTCGTTCAGTTACAACCTTAACAAGATTTGGGTAATATTCTAGCAAAAGAAATGCAATTGAGTGTTAGTTCAGTATAAAAGTAAATTATAGTTGTAAATTATAATCTATACAAGGCCTACACTATGGAAGTCTCATAAAAGCGTACGAGCGCTTATAATTCGTCCCTGGCGGGCTGTTCCTCCTCCTCGTCGTATTCGCTCTGAAATAATAATATATAACTAATTAATATCACTGACAAAACGTAGTTTACATTAGTAGTCATCAGTGGTAGTGGTTACTGTTAGGCTCTGGACAGACTGACTGCATTTCAACTGCACTCAACAGTAACGTTGGAACTGCACGCCAACTGCAATCGGGCTGCACAGTCGCCGTGCAGTTCAAATGCAGTCTGTCTGTCTAGAGCCTTGTATATAGTGCTCTTTACGCTACACCACGGACTTAAAACTCAAGAGTAGCGATACAAGACAGCTTAGTTGGTTATTTAGTACCTATTG